ATTTTAGAGCTTCTAGAAATTAGAAAAAATCTCTGGAGACAATTGATGTCGGTGGGATTAAATAGGTTACATGATCAGTTTAAACACTGCCTGGATTTTAGGCTGGTTTCACTTTAAACAGATTTCCACCTGATTTCCCTGTCCTCTGTGTAGAGAACTAGAATATAATCCAGAATAATCTAGAGTAGCGCCTACTGGTGGCAGCATGTTGGAGCTGCTCTGCTCTGGTTTCTTCTTTTTGACTTTTGTTCATCATTTCTGGCTGAATATTTGCCGGTTTGGACAACTATTCTTTCTTATGGATGCTGAGCAGCTGAAAGGATTTCTGAATTTGAGTAACCATGGCAACAACTGGAAGCAGCTGATTAGCATCTCAAATAATCCCTGAACTTTGACCATGAAGGAAAATGGATGCAGAGACAGAAGAAGTTCAGACCGTTATGAGGATCATCCTGACTTTAGGATCTCCTCCCCTACCCTAACAGGCGGTCGGTGTTTTGGAGCAGGGAGCGTGTGCGGCTGCGTTCTTGCCTGTCATTGGCTGTGAGCTGGCACCTCCTCACGTCGGGCGTAGAAATCACGCCACAGCGTTTGTACTGACCGTCTCCGATGGACCGGGACACTTCCAGGACGCCGAGGACGCGGCCGTCCCTGTGGAGACGGACAGAAAGACGGCTCTTTACGCTTTTGGTTTCAAATAATGTTTATAATACAATTCTTTTTCAGATTAAAATTTTACTTCACCTTCTCTGTTTAATTTTTTCAATATAATTTTTATCAATTTCTAATTATTTTTCTGTATTATTCTTTCAGTTTTAATTGACTTATTTAAATTTTTTTAGCTTCTATTTTTTATAATTTATTTTTGTTTGCATTTTTTCTGTTTATCAGTTTAAAATAATTTCTTATTCCATTTTTTTTTCTGTTTCAAATCATTTTTATATTACAATATTTTCCAGCTTCAAATCCATGTCTTTTATGTCAAAATGTTGTCTTAGTTTGAAATTATAATATTTTTGACAAACCATTCGGCCCTAAAGTAGCTCCGTAGAACTCAGTTCCGTAGGGGATTTGGGCCGACAGGGTTGGAGAAAACGCCCGGATGCGGCGTGTTTATTGGTTTCAACACCGATACAAAGGTGTGAGCTGATATCCATATTTAATATTAATATTAAATATGTTATAGACATTAAATGGTATTAATATTTCCTTTTAGACGCTGTAAAAATTGTTCCCATGGCTGCCTTCATCTCTATGCTTCAGGTAAACCTCCCACAATCCTTTGCTGCGTGCCGGCTGACCTGACGGTGCCTCCGGCCCTCTGGATCCTCATGCGCTCCTCGTAGATGGTCGGGTTGTGTTCCTTGCTGAGTGCCAGAGTGACCGACTTCCTCTGGCTGTCTGCGGCCGCCGCCTCCGTCCGACACAGCACCGCCTGCAGACACACAGCAGCTGCTGCTCAGCGGGGCCCCCTGCAGGAGCCCCGGGGCGCTGCGCCGAGCCCAGCTCACCCTGCTGTCCCCCAGATTGGCGGCGTACACCGTGTCGTCCACCACCAGGACGCAGGTGGCCGTGGAGCCGTCCTTCCAGGCCGGCTTCCTGCTCACAGAAACAAGATGGCGTCTCAGCAAGCGTCCCCTGGAGCTCCTTCAGCTCCGAGCGTTTTGAGGTCTTACTGGCTGGAGGCTTTCTTCAGGAAGTCCTCGTCTGTCTGCCGGAACGTGTCCAGGAGACACTTCTTCAGCAGCTTGTCCAGATTCTCAGCGTCTCCTGGAACAGAGACGCCATCAAGAAGTGTTCATCAGAAGATCCCATCTGGACAGGAAGTGAGACTCACCTGAGGGGAACTTCTTGGCCAGGTTCAGGTGAAGGTTTTCAGCTGCGAATCGAGACGCTCGAGCGCCGCCGTGACCATCAAACACGGCGAAATACGAGACGCGAGAGCTGCAGAGACACAGAAACACCCAGAGACTAATTCTGTCCTCCTGAACCAGAGCAGGACAAGAAACAGGAAGTCAGGAAGACTGGAAGTTGAGGCAGTCTTACACGTGTCCCGGCAGCGAGGACAGACAGCTGCTCATGTCGGGCATCAGCACATGGGCGTCCTGCATCTCGTCGCGCTCGCCGCGCCGCGCGGCCGCGTAGCCTCTGAGCCGGGGCAGACCTGCGGCGGACAGACAGACGGACGGACGGAGTGGGTCGGCTGCTGCCTCGCCTCGGCTACTCAGCGGCTGACAGCTTCAAGAGAGCAAAGGAAGAAAACAAACATTGTGGTGGAACAGCTGAAAACCTTCTCTACAAACTTTCTTGATCTCGTCCTTCTCCTCCTCTTCCTCTTCGTCGTCTCGCCTCCGTTTGAACCTTCTGTCCTCTTCATCCTGAGCTGGAGGAGCAACTGGAGACCAAGAAGACATTTAAAGACAAGAATGTCATTCAGATCACCAAGCTAACATTATCATAGCATTAGCTGGCTGAATTTAGCTTAGCTTATTTTGCTCTATGACCATTAGCTGCTATACAGCTGAACAGATTGTCTTTACAGAAAAATGTTATCTCAACATTTTTTGTCCGTTTCAAATTCTCATTACAATTTTCCACCAGGTTCAAATCTTTTTTTTATTCCTAAATGTCTTAATCATTTTTAGGTTTAAATTTTTTTTATACAATTCTTTCAGTATTAAATCGTTGTTTTCAATCAAAATAGTTTTTTAGTTTGAAAACTTTTTTTTTTCATCTTTAAAATCGATTTTCAATCTTTTTTTTTGTTTCACAAAAAATAGTGGATATTTCTTAAATTCAAATCTTTTAATTTTTTTCTCAGTTTCAAAGTTTATTTCTTAAAAAAAACTTTATGGTCCCAGTTTAGCTTCACTGAGCTCAGCTTGGTGGGGAAGGAGTGCAAAGAGTCTCACATTTAGATCCAGGGACAGAAGAAAATCCCAGATGATTCACATTTATGGGTTTTAGGGTTGTACCGATACAAAAACTTTAGTTGACATCAATATCCAAATATTGATATTACTGCTATGGCCGATATTAATTATATTTTTCTATATCATTAAAATAATGTGACCACGATGCTTACAGACCTTCCTGTTGGTCACATGACCAAACAAACAGACCAACTCCCTCCAGAAACACAAGCAGCAACACGATGGAAATAAACATCTGCCCAGCTTTACTTATCGGACCGATATCGATATATCGGCCTCCCTAACTAATTTATTTTCAGTGATTCATCTGATTTTCTGAAGCTAAACTCATGTTAACACTGCGGTTCTGCAGAACCATCACTGGCTTTGGTTTGGACTCAGTTCGGTTCCAGATCCGCTGTAGATCAGTTCATGTGAACAGTAATCATTAGATTTCTGCAGCAGAACCAGAGGTGTTAATTGGATCTGGTTCTGAGTCCACTGCAGATGTTTTCTTTTTATCAGAGGCATCAATGAGAAGCTGGTTGTAGCTGCTAAATCCGGACTGGTTCTGGGACCAAACCGTGTCTTATCTCAGCTGCTGCCGGTACCGGTCGCTATGGACTCACCGGACGTCTGTGTCGGTTCTGGCAGGTCGTCGAACAGGTCCATTCTTCTCCTGGAATAGCCCAACAGCTAACAGGCTAGGCTAACTAACCTTCAGTTCGGTTCCGCTGTGTGAGTGTTCTGACACGGTCCACAAAAATGTCGACTCCAAACCTCGTTTATTTTTCAAACCGGTTCCGACGGTCCAATAGTGAACAGACCGTATGCTTCGTCCCTCTTTACCGCATACAGTCAGGTTGCGGACCAAATTCAACGGTTAGCATAAAGCTAGCTGAAGCTAATACAGGTTCCGGTCATTTCATTCAAAATAAAAGCTCGTTGAATTCTTGAAGTTATTTCAAAATAAAAGCTTCCAATCTGTAATAGGTTTTTTCATACTGAACACACACCTTCCAAGTAGATTTTTTTCAGAATAAAAGCTTACATTTACAACTTTATAAATGTCTTTCAAAAATAAAGTAAAAGTAGTCTAAAGTTTCACAATAAAATATTAAATGTTCCTTTGAGTTTCTTACAAAATAAAAGCTAGTATTTTATAATTACTATAATTTCTTTCAAAAATTAAAAAAGAAAAATCTTTACAAATATTTACACACATTATAAAGTAGTTTTTAAATGTTAAAAGCTAACTTTTAATCAAATAAATAACAATAAAACATCCCATATGTACAGCAATTTCTTTCAAAAATAAAATAGTCACAAAAAGGAAACATTTATGACTGCTTCCTTTATTACTCTGCAAATAAGTACTTACATATTTTATTGTGGCATAAAAATGCTCACAATACAAAGCTCAAAATAAAAGCATGTAATTTGAGTAAAAGAAACTTTCCGTAATTCAAATTAAACACATTTGTTTCTTTCAGAATAAAAATCCACAAAATAATTTTAGTATCTTTCAAAATAAAAGACATACATAAATAACATTGAATATTACAGACTAAATGATGTTACACATGGAAATCATTTTCTATATTATTTTTATAGTGGTGACACATTAACCTCTCCCTGCTGCCACTCATGGGGAAATGTAAGATATCAAACTTGTCAACTTGTTTTCTGTAAATTTAGTGTCTACTTTCAAATCATTAAAATAAAATGGCACACTTATTTACTCTGCATTTCAAGATCTAAATTATTTATTTCTAGGTTTCCACTACTTTAAAGTTAAAATCAACAGCCATAACACCAGCATGATATAAGCTAATTACAAATGATGCTAACGGTGTTAGCTATGCACCGTTAGCATGGCTAACGTTAGCATAGCTCAGGGGTGTCAAACTCCAGTCCTCAAGGGCCGCTGTCCTGCAACTTTTAGATGTGCCTCTGCTGCACCACACCTGAAAAGAATAATTAGGTCATTAGCAAGGCTCAGGAGAACCGATCTACACAGGGAGGAGGTAATTAAGCCATTTCATTCCTCTGTTTTTTACCTGTGGCACATCAAAACACTGCAGGACAGCAGAGGACTGGAGTTTGACACCCCTGGCATAGCTGGTGCTGACACGTTGGTATGGGGGACCCCGAAAAGGCTTGGTCCGGCCCTGGTCCCTGGTTCAGTTTAGTCCGGCCCTGGAACAGTGACCGGTCTGTGGAGACTTTCCCACCGCAGCGGTGACCCTGAACGCATCACCCGGAGGTGAATGAGGCCGGGGTCCGCTCTCAGCGCAGTCTGCGGGCTCTCATCATGCGGCTGGGGCTCCTGTGTCTGTGGACCGGCTGGATGCTCCGGAGCGCCGCGTCGCAGCCGCAGGACGGAGGGGTGCGACCCGGCGGACAGCTGCAGACCGAACCGGAGGGAGTCCGGACCGGGTTCCGGAGCCAGAGCAGCGGCGATCCGGCAGGTGGAGCCCGGAGGAGAGCAGCTCTGAGCGGGTGAGCAGCAGGAGGAACACCGCGGACCGGAACTTGAATTCACAGAAACTCACTAAAATAAAACTTACTGCTGGTTAAATGTTAATGTTAGTTTTTAACTTTTCTTCATGTCTTTAAATATAAGACACCATCCGATTGACGGCAAATTATTCTCTGAACACCTCTAATCTTTTTATTTTTTAATATTTTAAATTAATCATTTTAATTTCTGAGCTGATTATCAGTGATGTTTTGCGGTTTTTTGTTAAATGTTTGTCTTAAGCACAGGAAATGAATTATTTATCATATTTATGGAGTTATAGATATTTCCTGTATCAATAAAATGTGACATGAATTATACACTTATGATGCTGAAGAGTTTTCACAGTTACTGCTGTTTGTATCAACTCACAGCTGAAGAGTGCGGATGGCTCAAGCGTTTGTTTTGCAGCTGTTTTGCTGCAGCTTAATGATCACACCTGTTGCATCCTGAATACTTCCTGCTTTCAGCTTCTTTCAGAAACATCAGGAATCTGTTGAAACTCTGTTTCTGCTGAGCGACAGTCAAGTGACGGATTCAGAGTCAACACAGCCTGTGTGCAGATCAGCGCGTTTTAAACCCCGTCAGCTGACGGAGCAGGCGATGATTTAAACTTTGTGTTTCATCTTTTTAACACATTTCATGAAGTCTGAGGCTCCAAACCTCCACGGCAGGAGACTTCCCCTTAACACGAAGAAACCTTCAGCAGAACCAGGTTCAGAATCAGAACCAGGTTCAGAATCAGAACCAGGTTCACAACCAGTGGCCATCTGAAGGTTTGAGAAAACGGAGCAGAGACAGAACTAGAAGAAGTGATATGAAAAGTGAAACGTAAACAGCAGGAGAGGGAGAGCAGTCAGGTGATGGCAGCATCATAACCAATCAGGACGCAGAGCAGGTGGAGAAAAACAAAAGAAAAATACATAATTCTGCTTTTTATTTATCAGTTCTCAATACTGTGGCTTTGCTTCCTGGAAAAGGCTCAACAAGCAGATCTAATCATCTGTTGGTGTTTATTTTAAAACTATAAATATTTTTGAGTTATTTTTGTTATTTTTTAGTTGAGTTCAGGTTTGAACGGAGAGCTCCAGGCAGCAGAAACTAAACTGAGACATCAGACTGAAGGCCCAGAGGAAGGCCGGGGTGAAAGCTGCTTCCTCTGCTCTGCACACAGGCTGAGCTTCAAACCTTTTGTGTTCAGAGAACAGAGCAGCTCATGCTTCAGCTGCAGCTTCCCAGCATTCATCTTCCACTGGGCGACTCCACTGCTCTGTGAGCCGCAGGGCAGAAACGGACATCAGGCAGGCGGCCCGTCTCTTCTCGGGCTGTTAGCGACTTCAGACACTCGGTTCATTCATGAACCAAGAGCAGAAAACGCCTTCCAGTCCCGTCATCCGGCAGAACCGGAGAGCTGGTTCCCACTGCGACCTTGGAGCCTGAAGGTGAAACTGCCTGTGGCTCTGCGGTCACTGGGTCCAGTTTGGATCCAGTCAGCAGGCCTCCTCTGCTTCAATACGACCAGTACGCCGTGAGTAATGACTAAATCCTCTGCTGAGGCCGGATCCAAACTCACTGCTGCCTGAACCCGAAACAACAACGACGCCACGCATTCAGGGACTGAACCGGAGCCAGAACCAGCAGAACCCGGACAAACATGAGAGGATCTGAAGAACAACACCGGATGGATGGATGGATGGAGAGAGGAAACCCTTCAGGGTCCCATACTGTAGTTGTTGGGTTGTGATCCATCATTCATGAAGCTGAAGCTCAGTTAGATCCTCCGCCAACAGGGGGCGCTGTGAGGAGCGCAGCAGCACTGTTAGAACATCCGGGTTGGATGTTGGTTATTATGACTGACTGTCTCTGAGCTGATGGTCCAACAATCTGCAGACAAACAAAATTATTTGGTTGGAAGAATTTATGTTGTCACCACATTGGCCAGAAACGGGCAGAGCCGATTTCTGCTGCCTCGGGCTGTTTCAGTGTTCAATAACAGACCAACTCTGATGAATGAAGCGTTTTAAGGCCATAAATGACCCTTTTCTCCACAGACCTCGTGTTTGTGGAGGTCGATGTTGTCTCGGCTGGACTGTGTCCCCTAAAACCAAGAGGTGCACCAAGCGTAAGCATTTACTTTCTACTTTGGGATTTATTTCATTTTAAGTTCAGATTTTCGTTTAATTTTCGCCATGAAGACCAAATAACCGAAGGTGTTATTTTCTCCTAGTCTTCCTGCAGGTTTAAAGGTGTCAAATTTTCCAACATGACCTTTTTTCCAGACAGATCATAAATCTACCCAGACCAGGTTAGAACGATGTGCCGAAAGCCACAATATGTTCCCTGACTCGCATATCAAACAAGATATTTATAATCCTTCCATCAGAGGCTCTTCGAAATTTGATGGCGCCGATTCTACCTTCTCTACAGAACAGCTCGACGTGAACGCTGCGTGCCGCCGGACAGTTTACTGTGTGACACCGAGTACTTTGCTCGGACGCGTCCAGCGGACCTTCCAGGAGCGCCGCATGCAGACTCCCTCACACTCCGGTGTACTCTGTGAGCCGGTGGATAAATTCCTTCATTTCCTGTAATCCTAATGGATAGTTAGCAGGTTCGAGTAGCAAGGTGGGCAAGGCGGCCACCCAGGGCCGCCATGACACATCAGTCAGAGAGCCGCCGACTATCAGCCTATCAACTGGGTTGTATACAGTTCAATGTCGGGACGTTTTTCCACCGAGTAGTTTACTGTGGGACACTCGCAGTCTGCTTTGACTCCACCTCAAGTGAAGTACTAAGTACTACACCAAGTGAAGTATGTGGAGGCGTTTAGTCCTTTCAGATTATTGACATTTCTACTTCTATCCTCATTCTCTGCCCGTTTCCCTGGAGGTGGGTTGCTTTCTACCCTGTGAAAACGTTTCCTCTGAAGGCTGTTGGTCGCGGCCTCCAGCCTTGCTCCCTGACCCACCAGGAGGTACTCAACATTCTCCCTTGCTTAGGGTCTCTTCTTTCTTGGGTCTAGCTACTCAGACTTGAATTGGACCTCATGTTTTCCTGCCTCTAGTCTGTGGATTCCCACCTCTGCCTTACTGGCTCCATGCCCCAACCTTCTTGCCCTGTCAAGAGATTCTATGACTGTCAGCATAATTATATTTTATTTCCAGTAACCAAGTGTCATGATATGGTGTCCAAACATATTTTTCTATTGCTTGACTTATCCACAAGATATCCCTATGTAGCAAAACATTCCCAAACCATCATCCTTCCGCCACCGTGCTTGACATTTGCAGGAGTGTGGATTAAAACTATCCTCTTGTCCCGCAGCCAGATGTTTTCCTCCCTGCCGTAACGGATCATCGTGTGGACTTCCCAACAACTGTCTGTGCAGGAAAGGTTTCTATGGCGCCCGCTGCCAATTTTCCAGCGTTCCTCTTCCTGTGAGAAGGCCTCCAGAGACATCCAGCCATCCTGCCTCCACATCCCCAGCAGCTGGACCAATCGGGTCCAGTCAGAAACCTGAACCTCCAGGTTCATTTCAGAAGCTATTGAACAGTAACAACTCTAGTCCTCTGAAGTCTGGACGTCTAGCAGGTCAAGCTGAAGGCATGAAGGGGGATCCAGGAGATGTTACCCTAAGGTTTCTGAACGGAACGTCTTCCGGAAGCACAGGTCTGATGAGGGCAGATGCAGAGAGGCAAAGCTCAGATTCAAAACATGTCCTGGAGTTGAAGCTCCAAACTAACAGAGAAAACAAGAACCCATTGAGATCCGAGTCCCTGGAGCTGCAAGCAAGTCTGGAAGTTAAAGAGGATGAGGATCCGACTGGAGCAGAGAGGAGACCAGAGGAGATGAAGAGGCAGATCCCGAGGTAAAAGTCAATCCCTTGTGTCCTCTGACGTCTCCTCACACTTAGTCACAAAACGTTGTGCAATCTCCTCAACTCTCTCATCATCTTTTATCTTCAGCTGTTCTCTTGCAGTGCCTTCCTACCTTTCAAACCTTTGACTTTCTTCACTCACAGCCTTGCCACGTTCTTCTGTCCTCCCACTGTTTCCTCTCAACTGATGATTTGAGATGTCTGATTCTCACCTCATCACACCTCATTGCAGTTTTCTGTTCAGCCAGCAGGTGGAGACTGTCACCTGTTCTATACAGTGAACCTTGTTTTTTTTCCTCTCTGGACTCAGCCCTGAAACAGACAGCTGCATCGTTTATATCTGCAGTCTCCGGCTGTAGGTCCAAAGGGTCCAAAAGGACCAAAGGACAGTAGTTCTGGAGGGTTGGACTCCTGGTTTGTACTGAAACACTCGACGTCTACTTTGAGTTTCCTTCAAGCAGAAGAGAAGAAAGACCTGATTGTTTGTCTGTAAAGAAGTAAACCAGCTGACTGGGAGTGTGAAATGTAGATGAATAAACCAAACTTCAATGCTCTGAGAGGTCAGAGGTCAGAGCCTGGGTCATGACGGCCTGTGGGAAGATCTGGAGGGATTCTGAGTGAATCTGTCTTTAAACGTACCAACTGTGGATAAAACTTGTTTGTTTGCAAGTAATTCAGGGTTTATGAAAGTTATTCTGAGGTTTTCCTTGGACTTTGACTGTTCCATTTCAGTGCAGAACCTCCCCATTTTCAGATGAATGAACCTATTTCATGGCTATGAATCATTCAAATCATTTTTTGCTGCCTGAACACGGAAAACTTCACAAGAGAGTTTCAGGTTCATCTCTGTTTCTTTGGTAAATCCCTGAAAATCACCAAATTCAGCCTTAAAGATAAAAATAAGGATTTTAACTCCAGCACAGTGACTGTTGGAGAGCTGTTAGCTGAAAACTTGTTTTCCTGTAAACAACTTGGCCCGTTAGTTTATAATGGCTAAATTATAGAAATATAACTAAACTGTGACGATCTAAGCTCATTTGATCTTAACTAAGTTTGGGTTATCATGACTTAATTTAGACAAGCTAAATTATATTTAATAATTTCTTAACTTGGCTAATTCTACATTAGCTAAGCTTAGTTTAGTTCACATTAGCTTACTTTATCTTCTGTCATTCTGCTGTGGGTTAGTTTAGGTTATTTGAGTGCAGTCTACCTTAACTAAGCTTAGTTTATCACCTCATAGGTTAGCTCACTTTAGCTCTTCTTGCATTACTCTTAGTTTATCTCAACTTAATTTATTGCAGTTTAGTTCAGGCTGATGGAGTTTAACTTATTTTAGTTTGTGATAGCTTAGCTCGGTTTAACTTATGTTAGCCTGTCAGCATCCTAGACTGCATCACAACATGCTCTCATCCTCTTATTCTTGTTGTTTTAATAATTGCTTTTTTTATCTCTGCGTTTAGTTCGGTTTGGCCGCGCAGCTGCTTTGTAACGATGTTCATTGTTTCCAGTTGTTCCAAGCAGCACTTTTTATCTGAGCAACATGGACATGGAGGAACCGCGAGGCTTCCCGAGGTTTGGCCTGTTGGGTTTTGTTGGGGGCTGATTTAACGCCGCTGAGACAGTTTGTGGCTGGAACACGTTGTTCAGATCTCGTGACCCTGCAGAGCCCCTGGCAGTTTTATCTGCCCTGTCCGCTTCGCTGTGCTGCTAAAAATCAGCAGCTGCAGCGTCCAGACACACCGGGGCTGGGAACTGAGATCAGGCTTTCAGTCCGGTGTCGGCTCCGGCGCTGAGCTCTGTGGTGCAGAAAACCAGAATACAGAGAAAAGGTTTCGTCTGAGTGTGGTGGATCTAGATCAGGGGAGTCCAAAGTGCGGCCCGGGGACCATTTGTGACCCTCTGAAGGATCTTGGGCGGCCCTCAAATCTAAAATGGAGCAAATCTGTTCTGCAAGCATCGGTCTGTTGCAGAGTTTGGAAGTAACTAGTTACATTTACTCAGCTGCATTTACCTGAGTAACGTTTTTGAAAAGAATTTCTTTTAGGAGTATTTATTCTGTTCTGTACTTTTTACTTGAGTAATTTTATAAAGTATTTCTACTCTTACTTGCATAAAATTTCTGGATTTTCCACTGAATGAAAAACGAGTTTTAACCAAAAATCAGCAGACAGACTCACCTGCAGGTTTTATTAAAGCTTTATTAGGTTTTGTTTCTTGAATGAAACTGATTTGGAAAAATTTTCTTTTGCCAGATTTTGTTGTTTTTTTGTTATATGAATTATTGTCATTTTTGGTTCTTAAAGCCACAAAATTTAAACTTAACTTTATATTTTGGTCTGTCTGATGATGTGATTTTTAAATATTAAATGATTGATAATTTGATCAGTTACTCGGTACTTTTTACCAAATACCTTTTGCTTACTTGAGTAAACACACGTTGAAGCTGCTCTAACTGGAGTTCAGTTTCTGGTCTCTTTTTCATCTTTCATCTTCATGTTTTGCAGATGAATAACATCTGCTTAATATAATATTAGGTACTAGAAGTAGATTCATTAACACTCAACAAGGTTTTTGCATTCATCTTCGTAACTGGAACCACAAACATTTTCCTCAAAACCAAATAATGACACAACCCAGAAAATGTAGGATGTAGAACCTTCTGATTTTCTGAGATCCTGATTTTTGTATTTTCATTTTCTGTAAACAAAAAATAAAGGTTTGAAATATTCACTGCGTCATGAACCTATAGAGACGTAAAATACGGAACATTTTGACAATATTAAAAAATTTTACGCTGGATTTGATATGAACACTTTCCTGTTTGTTATGTAAATGTTTCTGTGTGTCAGTCTGAGGGAGGCCCAGTCCGTTCTGCTGAGAAACTCTTTATCACGAGGAAGAGGAGGCAACATGGCCGCCCTGCTGATGAAGCACATAAGAAGAGAGAAGAGGAAGCTACACACACTGACCTCTTCATCCTCTTCACCAACGACCATGAGGGCCTTTCAGAACCAGAGAGGTCGGGTCGACTCCCACCTCGCTGCTCCTAAAGGTTTGTCACTTTTCTCTTTCCTGCTTTGAAATTATCATTCATTTTCCTTCCACACATCGGTTTCCTTTTTATAAGTTAGATATTCCCTGATTGTTCGATAAGTAATAAATCAGCCAGTTGTATATCAGGAACTCACTGGTCCAAGAAGGAGGACGTGTTTGTGGAGGTCAGAGGTCAGAGGGGAATGGCTCGGATATCTACTGTAACACACTGACTTTAAAAAGAAAATAAAAAATTACACATATAGGATGCACTTGACTGCAAGTCTCAGGTGACCTTTGAGTTTTTTTAAAAACATTTTTATTATAATTATTAGACTTTTGTTCTTTATGAAAACAAAATTGTGGAAAAACAATTAAAAATGCAGTTTTGTGTCAAAACGTTCTGTGTGACGTCTGTGAGGGAGCTTACATCCTAAACATGTTGTTGGTTTTTCATAAACTCAGTATAACTAAAGCTGAGGAAACTGTCCTTTAAACTGTTAAAGCAGGGGTTCCCAAACTACGGCCCGCGGGCCGCATCCGGCCCGCCTCCACATTTGGTCC